AATTTACATATCCCAATTAGGATACTCACTTTATTCTGATGAGGAAGAAGGTTCTGATTGTGGAGATTGACTAGGTGGGGGAGGGGACCCCAGCACCACCCCATGTGAAGCATCTTTCAGAGATAGATGAAGATAGCTGTTTTTAAAGGTTTTTGAAGATTTCCAAAAAGCCACTTCTTTGATCTGACTAAGGCTCATATGCCGCAGAAAGGCCAGAGACCCTGCATATATCCTCGTTTCATGTGCCAAAAATTTCTTGCCGGGGTCTGCTTGATTAACTAACTGAGATAAATATTTTGTCATTTGACTAGGAGACAATTTCTTACCATCCTGTGATGAGAATATACACAGGGGCCTCGATTAGGGAATCTGGTTAACCATTCTTGAAGATTCCTAACTGGGTACAATATATGAGGAACCCTTGTCACATCCATTAGCCATTTTATCCTGATAGGTTGAGCTTGAAAATTCTCCCTTTCATTTTTTCTTAGGATCTCCGTAGGAAAAAGGGTGACATCTTCCTCAGAAAATACCAATAATGATGGATTATTGGAACTTGAAATCAGTTCACTGATTCTCATACCTGTTGCTATTGCTAGAAGGAAGGCTGCCTTCTGGAGCAATCTGTCCCAGTTCAGATTTATATTGTAATTAGGCCCCATAAGAAATTTAGTAACTTTTTCCAGAGGGTCAACCAATGCTGATTTATAAAATGCAATTGTCAATCCTTGAAGGCCTTTAACTCTGAACAGAAATTAAAAAAATTCTAACGCGACTGTTTCCGACAACGTGATTGGAGTTGTTAACCAGATAAATCGCTGAAAAAGTTTCCAAGCTTTCTATATTACATAGAAGTTTGGGGTCTATGACCTGCTATCACTTGGTTAACTAAATTGGAATTACCCAACAATCTATTTAAACATCTTTTGAGAAACTCCAAGCATGCAGTGCCAAGGATATCTCGAAATGAGGGTGCAGTATCTGTTCTAGACATCCTTGTTTCAATTGTAGTGGATGCAGGCACCAGTCCAACAGATCCAGGCACCACAGTTGTAGGATCCAATATGGTGCAATTAAGAGGACCTTGCCTTGGAAGGATCTGAGTTTGTGAACCACTTTGGGCAACATTTTCACAGGTGGCAACAGATAGATTGAATTCCAACGGTTCCAATCTATGAGTAGAGCATTTCCTAAAAGATTCGATCGTTCCAGAGATGCTTAAGTTGGCATCTTGTGATTGTTTTGTGAGGCAAAGAGATCTATATCTGGAGTCCCAAACCTCCTCACTAGACTCTTGAACTTCGATATCTTTATGGACCATTCTGTTTCCATCAATACTGGCCTGAGACGGGACAACGCATCTGCCCAATTGTTTTGTACTCCCGGTATATGAGTTGCTTTGAGGTAAAGTGTTTGTGTTACACATACTTTGAAAAATTTTTCTGACAGTTTTAGAAGGGGCCAAGATCTGGTTGAGCCTTGATGATTGAGACAAAACACTGCCGTTCTGTTGTCCATGGCAAACAGGATCGTCATATTTTTTAAATTTGGGTTTGCCAACAAAAAGAATAGGACTACTGCTAATTCTTTTACGTTTATGTGTTTGTCCCAAAGGGAGTTGCTCCACTTCCCTTGACGGAACTTTCCTTTTGAGGAATGGTATCCCCATCCTATTTCGGACGCGTCCTTACAAACGACCTAGTCTGTTTGAGGAGGAACCCAAGGAGATGAACCGATTAGATTGTCAAAATTTGTCCACCATGACAGATGATTCTTGATCTGAATCGGGAGAGAAGAAGCAATATTCCTGTTTCTGTGAAGCAACTTCGACCCCAATCATGCCAAGAAACCTCTTGCTTTAGACAAAAGGTTTCTACTTGGTTTATCACATCTGTTACTCTTGCTTCTGGTAGACTGACTGACTGCTGATTGGTATCCCAATGGAGACCTAACCAATCCAATTTCTGACATGGTATGAGATTTGATTTGACCTGGTTTATCTTTAATCCTAGGCATTGAAATAGTACTAGTGTACGTTGGGTCGCCCTTTGACAATCTTCGAAAGAGTTTCCCATTATCAGCCAATCATCTAGATAAGCAAAATTTCTTATGCCCTCCTTCGCAAGGATCTCTCTGGGGATGTTTGCCAGTTTTGCAAACACTTTTGGCGCAATTGTCAGGCTGAATGGCATCACTGTGAATTGATAAGTTACATCCCCCACTGCGAACACTAGAAACTTTCTGTACCTGGGAGCAACAGGCACGTGATAATAGGCATCTTCGAGATCCACTTCTGAGATCCAAGCATTGGGCGGAAGTAGATGCCTCACATGATCGTAAGTGAACATCTTGAAACTTTTTTTGGTAATGAATTTGTTCAGGACGGAAAGGTCTAAAATCCACCTCAATTTGTCGCTGCCTTTCTTGGGGACTGGGAATAGGCGAGACATGAAATATTTCTTTGACTGTAACAGTTCTATCACACCTCTGTTTAACAGTTGAAATACAAATTCTGTGAGTAAGGGGGTTGGTTTTTTACCCCATTTTGGTAACAATAGGGGAGGGCACCTCAACCAAATCCACGCGAGGCCCCCTTGATTGTCTTGTAAGCCCATATGGAAGAAGTCCACCTGTTTTCCCAACCCCCTCGACGACCCAGCTGTCTGGCTTCATTGGAAGGGAGTGGTCGCTGATGTGGTGGAATAAGGTCTCCTTCCACTTCTGAACAAACGGCCACCCCTACTACGTCTTGAATTGTTTCCTCTTCTAAAGTTTCTTCTAGGTTGATAATTGAACTTAGCAGCTGGTCCTGTTCTCCTGTTAGACCTTCTGCTTTTAAAATTCCGAAAGGTCTTAGAACTCCTTGGAACAGTAATATTAATAGCTTGCTCAACAGCTGACCTATACTTAACTACTGTAATGTTTGTTCATCAAACAAAGCAGGAGAAAGAGGGGAAAAACGTAGCAATAAATAAGCACAACCACTTGAAGCATTATGAGTGGCTTGCTTCCCCTAAGCTGGGCTTTTAGTTTTAGGACTTTCAACATTTCCAAAAATGAGTTGTACAGGGAATATGGAATCCCTTGTATAGAAGCAGCAAAACATCTGTCTACTTCTGAATTGTCCTCATAGTCCAGCACAAACTTAGTCAATAACTGACACGTCATAATTACAAACCAAATATCCGCTGCCAACTTCCTAAATTGAAATTCTTCAAGCAACAGTGCAGAAGCAATTGGTTTCAAATTTATTTCATAACTTATTATATACTTATATCAGCATATTTTGGAACCGACAAATACTGAAACATTTAGATCTCCCTATTCTGAGCATTTTGAACCCCCATATATACATGGCAGAAATGGATAATTGTGACACAATTGAATTTAATTGATTTTAAGTACTTTTCAGTCTTCGTCTATGTGAGGAGATGTTATCGTCGTGAAAGCGCGATAATTATGAGCGTTTGAAGGATTTGAATTTCAGTGACCATTGTGACAATGGCCGTGGTAGAGGTTGGGTGTGAATCGCGCTCCTACGATTATTTTAAGTTTATTGCTAAATATTACGAGAAAGACGATCAAGCTATCCAATTCCTATGTAATCACGGTGATCTCCCTACATCTGTTGAGTGCCCGCACTGTAAATTGCGTTGTAAATTTAGAAAGAACAAGCATCAGAGGTTGACCCTGGTCCTTCCACTTCTAAGGTATTGTACTTTTGGACATGACACACCCCAAAGTTTAAAACTATTGAAACATTTAGATCTCATTATTTTGAGTCTTTTGAAACCCATTTACATTAGTTGGAAATGAATAGGATAGGATAGTTTGGTTTAAGCAAGCCTACCGGGGGTACAGAGGCGGAGCCCCCAGCTAGGGGTTAGGTTAGGTTTGGTTAGGTTAGATGACTCATTTTCGTGTTTTCCCGAACCCAAAACCCCGATTTCGAAGGCTCTCCACCATTATCAATAGGGGGGGGGGCAAAAACAAGCAATTTCCGCCAAAAATGAAGGTCAGATGCGTTTAGAATACCAAAATACACTAAAAAACGGCATTTTTGCATTTACACACCACACATTCCTACCACTAATCTATTATCATATTCTAATAAGACATCTAATTATAAGATAATTTTCACCTATTACATTACCGGCGAAAATGTATAATAACGGAGATAGCATATCCAAAATTTTCTCTATTTTCTTCCATTAATCTTCCTCCAATATCGCCTGCCTCACCTCCAACACTGCGTGTCTCCTGCGTCTCCTTCATAAATCATCACCCGCATGCGTTCCCGTACACGTCACGCAGCCAACCAAAAGCGTTTTTGTTTTTGCAACCAATTAAAATTATTTTGGGTTTAATTTGCGGTATATTTGGCCCAAACAAATTAGAGTCTTATTTTGGGTCTCTCATATTCCTAAATTCAAGTTCAATTCCAACTATGGAAGTCTGCGATGGGTGTCACCTGAATTACATGGAGCTGATTGCGAGTTTGGGGGAAAAAACGAAGAAACTATAGCATTTTTTTGATCGCATGGTGTTCTTCCAACCTCAGTAAAGTGTACTAAGAGCAAGACAATGTAAATATCGCAAAGACCAACATATGTGGCGTTGTGTAAGAATCTCAGAATCCAGCGACGAACAAGAACCAGGCCAATAAGGTAAGAGATAGGTGATTCCACCATCTGGTGAGAATCAGTTAGATTAGGTTTGGTTTTTGGTTTTCTAGTGTTTTTTGGTGTATTTTGCCATGATTTTTTTTTCGGAAAACGTCCAACGAAAAAAATTCGAAAAAAAATACCGGCTAATTTCCCCCACAAATGAAGGTCATACTCAGTCTAAACACACACAGACACACTAGAAAAATATATTTTTGACTTTCTAACAGTGCGGTGTACCAGTGCAAATTTACCGAAAAAACATATTGGTCAACCTCGAGGGACTCATGCCCTAAAGTAAAAATTTACCTATAAAATATTACCAAGATAACTAACCTCTTGTTCTTTGGCACCTATTGATATCCCGAGTATCTCGTAGAAGTCAAGCTTCGTAAGTTCTTTCTTGTTTTTCTTAGACATTTTGCGTCAATTCTGCCCACCAAAGTTTCAACAGATGCGCCAATCCCTTACTCGAATATTTCTCTGAATTTTTTCCCAATATCTCTTTGTTCAGCACACCAAAATATCTCAAATTACAACCGTTCGTAACTGGCCAGCCTGGGTTTGTTTATAATGTGGAGGGGTTGGGGGGAGGGGTAGGGGGAGGGGTTGGGGGCAGTGGTTGGGGGAGGGTTACTAGCGCATAACTTTCTATATTTGTACAAATCCTCCGCTCTGGATTATGAAACTTGCACAAAATCAATTTTAATGTTTATTTGTAAGGAATTTAAAGCAAATTTATGTGACGTTTATGCTAGATTATATCCCTTGAAATTTTAACAATATTTCCACATGCACGAATTTATGGTGGTGCACCCACTAAAAAATTATTTGGCACCCGTGTCATATTGTATCACGCCGTAAGGGTGCCGAATATTTTTTTAGTGGGTGTACATGTATGTATCGTTCATGTATGCATGTGTGTGTTTGTGTGTGTGTACAAGTATCATGTGCACCCTTACGGCGTGATACAATATGACACGAGTGCCGAATAATTTTTTAGCGGGTGTGTGGGGTATGGGTTGTTTGGTTCACACTCAGGATGGGATGGAGAAAGGAAACTCACAATGTGCTCTCTGTATAGATATTGTATTGGATGTACAGTGCAGCTTGGTGCTGGGAAGTGGCAGCGTGGTTACAAGCGTGATGTAGTCTACAGGTCCAATTGATATGGACTAGTGTACTATATGGGATAAGTGTAGGTCGTGTCTAAAGGTTATACTATTTACGTCTGTGAACGATTAGTGAACATAGCTACCGTAGGGTCAAGACCTATTCAGGCGCTGCTCCCGCTACGCAGCTGCCCCCCTTGGCCAATGTTCGGCCCATTCCCCAAGTCCCTCTCCCCAACTCATCCTCATCACCGGGTTATCTACATTATCAAAAGTGACAATTTCGTTTCGGAAAGAAGTGGGATCAGTGTTGAACAGTGATGAACAGTGTTTAATCCAGTGAATTCAGCACTAGACAGTACCAGTGAAAGCCCCAACCCACCAGTGAGAAAAGCACCCCTGGGAACTGACCGCCGTCTCCTGACAAGGAGGTGCTAATCCGTCCACCCTGGGAATAACAGAGAGCCGGCCGGCTATGTACCTGACTATGGGATAACACAACATCACCGCGCAGTGAGGTACTGTTACACCACCCCACACCACACAGTGTCCCCATGACTACGTGAGGTCCTTCATATCAACACCCGAGGACGAGTCACTATACCACGTGAACACCACACCACCCGGTGTCTGTATGACCACGTGAGGCCCTTCATATCAACACCCGAGGATGAGTTTGTAGGAATTCGTGGCATAATGTTGTCTAGCACTCAGGATGGATGGAAACTCTAAGGTGGTTTTCTTGTATAATATGAGTTATATGATAGACAGTCTGGTGCTGGAGGTGCCGTGTGGTGAGGAGCTGCTCAGTAGAGACGTTCAGTGAGTAGCGTGTTGAAGGAGGTAGATGTGCAGGAGCTTCGTTAGAGAAGATGTTGCCTGTTGCTGGCCTCCTGGTTGAATGAATGCTGACAGCGTGGAGCTTGCTGGAGGAGGTGTTGCTTGTTCAAGAAGAGAGACCAGAATGAGAAAGCTGGTTGGTGAGGAAGCTCAGAGAAGGACAGCTGGTGGGTCGCCATGCTCACTGGCGGGAGCGTGGACCGCCAGGCAGGCGGCGGAGGAGGAGCGAGGGCCGCCAGGCAGCGGCGGAGGAGGAGGTGTTGCGTGGTGTAGAAGTGAGGCTAGAATGAATCTCAATGATGATGTTGGGGGATTACTGGCCTCTTCGCCGTTAGGCTATTTCGGCCGAAGCTGATTGGTTGGACTTCTTCCGTTTCTTGTTTCTTCTCTCACTTTTCACTTTCCATTCTTCTTCTCGGTCTTGCTCCGAAAGATTTTCGTACACGTGAATAAACGGGATAGCTGATAGAGTTATGAAGTCGGGTTTAATTTTGGCTTCTTCTTTTTCCGTGATCTTCTTCTTGGGGTCTTGAGTTTTAGTTGTTGTGGTCTTGTTCTGGTCTTGTTTCTTCTTTTCTGCAGTTTTCACTACAAGGAGAGCCTCCTTGTAGCTCAATTTTTCTTGACTTCGCAGCTTAGCCACCCTACACTCCTCCCTCCACTTGGGACACTCCCGGTCGGAGGAGGAGTGAGGGCCACCACAAGCTGCGCACTTCTTGGCGGCCACTGAGCAGTTGGTGTCGTGGTGCCCGGGTGTCCCGCAACTGGAACATACTTCCTGAGCACGACACTTCCGCGCCAGATGGCCGTACCTCTGGCATTTATAGCATCTTGTAGGCCTTCTTTCGTACGGTCTTACTGGGACCCTTTCCCATCCCAGCAAGACGGTGCTCGGAAGTTTCTTGTGGCAGCCAACCAGTGCAGTTGTACTGGTGAGCTTCTGTCGTACTGAGAGCTGCTTTCCGATCAGCTCGGCCAGTTCTTCTTTTTCCAGATGTTCGATTTCTGTGTGGGAGATGACTCCCAAAACCAAGTTGTCCTGTAGGCAGGTTTCAACTAGGATCTGTATCCCGTTAATTTCTCTAACGTTTTCAAGTTGCCGGGCCTCTCCCCATTCAGCGAAGGTGACAATAAGGCAACCGCTGTCAATGCGGACGACCCTTGTCACCCCCGTGATTCCTGAGTCATCAAAAAACTTCCTCAGGACAAGGAGGTTTAGTAGCTTGCGCGAAGGGCGCTTGACTGGATACAGCCTAACGACCTTCGCCTGTTTGCAGAACATTATCTGGATCACGTGGTACCTCGAGAGCAGAAAGATCCTACCTCGCCGAGGTTCAGTTCTCAAGTGTATCTCAATGGAGAGACAGAGCTTATATACCCAGCAGCCGTGAGTCCTCTATGAGTCATGTTGGGAAAACCCGAGAAAGTCGCCGGTCTCTAGTTCCGTTGCTAGGATACTGTAGTGGACGTCTCCCCTACAACTGCTTACAACTGCGTAGCCACAGCCACCACCTGCCACCACATTCCAACGTGCCGTTGCCTAGCAACCAAGCGAGAGCTGTCCCCAGATGTTACCGTTGCTTAGCAACGAAACTAGTCACCGGCAACTTTCTGGGTTTTCCCAACATGATTCATAGAGGACTGGCGGCTGCTGCGGGGTATATAAGCTCTGTCTCTCCATTGAGATTCATTCTGCCCATCTTCCTGAACAAGCAACACCTCCTCCAGCAAGCTCCACGCTGTTAACATTTATTTCAACCAGGAGGCCAGCAACAGGCAACATCTTCTCTAACGAAGCTCCTGCACATCTACCTCCTTCAACATGCTACTCACCGAACGTCTTCTACTGAGCAGCTCCCCACCACACGGCATCTCCAGCACCAGACTGTCTATCATATAACTTATATATTATACAAGAAAACCACATTAGAGTTTCCTTCCATCCTGAGTGCTAGACAACATTAATATCTCGATACCCCTACAATACCGTGACATCTGGTGTCGCCGCTCGCTTGGTTGCTAAGGAAGGCGTCGCAGGTGGGATGCAGCTACGCAGTTGTAGGGGAGAAGTCCACTACAAGTTACTACACCACGTGAACACCACACCACCCGATGTCTCCGTGACCACGTGAGGTCCTTCATATCAACACCCGAGGACGAGTTACCATACCACGTGAACACCACACCACCCGATGTCTTCATGACCACGTGAGGTCTTTCATATCAACACCCGAGGACGAGTTTCCACACCACGTGAACACCTCACCACCTGGTGTCTCCATGACCAGCCCGGGCCATCAACTGTAAAGTATAATAATTTGTATGTTCAATCATTGTTCCTTCTTCTTTTAGTAATGAAAGCTTTTGTTAAACGGCCCACCCACCCCACGTCCTTGTATGTAATAAGTCATTTTTGTCTAATGTATATTTTCAGCCTTCGGGCTGCCGGCTTTTTCAATAAACCGTTAATTATTATTATTATTATTATTATTATTATTATTATTATTATTATTATTTTATCAGGTGAAAATATATGAGAACAATGATCTGGAAAAGGGATAATGTATCAGGCATATGTGAAGCGTTGGAAGTGATCGAGAAACTATACTTCAAAAAAAATATCTTGTATACCCACGCCAAGAAAAAAACGACGCTAGGCCTTTGTTAGGGTTGGCACCTAGGCCACCCCGGGCTACAGTGCCGAGTATTGTTATAACCCAATGAATTTCCCCAGGAACTAGCAAACCACACCCTTACTTTAGTATGTAATTTAGGATTAAGATATATAATTATAAGGCATAAGGTCACAATAGATATGAAAGTGTATATATGAGAACCTGAATAATGTCAAAGTGAAAATTAAAGATTGGAAACTGTAGGCCTAGTTCAGTGTGAGACGCCAGGCATCGCTCTCAGTGACGCCCGCCTTCTCACCGAAACAGGTCATTGAACTCTATCGTGCTTCATCAGCACTCAGAGACTTATCTAACAGTATTTTACATCTTAAAACCTTGCCTAATGTTATAAAGTGAAATAATACAGTTGTTGAAAGTTACTAGTGTTCCCTGAAGAATGCAGTGATGGCTAGGGAAACACTGTGTAACACTAAGTCCGTTTATTATGGATGAGAGAAATACAAGTGGTGACTCGCGTGTGCCATGCACGGCTCACACAGTCAGACTAAGGCTGCCTTGCCATATGGCAGCCTCGGGGCAATGTTGCCACATAACACGTGCAGTGTTGCCACGTGATTATATATATAAATGCTACTCGGTACAGTAGCTTATGTACAGGGTTGCTACTTGGCACAGTAGCTTAGATACATAACCTACAGTTGTAATAATGCGTGGTGATAAACGCCCCTCAGGCATTATTCTCAGTGACGCCCGCCTTCTCACCGAAACAGGTGCGCGCCCAGAGCGTCGGCCGAGCAACCACCACTGCTCCACTGTGAGGAACCCACCTGGTGTGGTGTGTTCTGCTTATGGCCATTATGCCACCTCCTCTGTGAATCTGTGGATACCCTACATATCACTACCCAGGAAAGGAGAACATAATTGTGTGTTTGAGGAGTTTCGCGGTCGCCATGTGGAGCGACCTAAGAATACCAGGAGTGGAATCAGTGCTGGTATGATTACCTGGGAAGTATC